ATACACTGTACCACTGCGCCCTACCCCTCCCTGACTAATTATTCTGTCCCTAACATCACAGATAAGCTTTGTCTGTTCAGGAACTTCATAGAAATGAAATCATACAGGACGCACTGTTGGGTCTGTCTTCTTTTGTTCAGCCTGCTTTTGAGATCCGTCCACGTTGCTGCGTGTATCGGGAGTTCGTTCCTAACGCTGCTGACTAGCCTGCCACTTATGTCCAGTATTTTTTTTTTTAACCTGTGGAATTCACTCTGCCTCTGCTTTGGGCTGAGCCAGTGTTATCAGAGAAATGAGAAGGGTTTTCATTTATGTATGGCTGTTTCTGAACTTGCTGTTCTCTCATGAGGTTATTTACCAACCACTGCGGCAATCCTCCGTTGTTTCAGCTGGTGAAGCTTTAGGATATTTCAGGAACTTGGAGGGACAGTCTCCCCTCCTTGCCCATCCTCAGAATTGTCGTAGTTATCCTGGGCCTCTTCCACGTCCACGTGAACCGTAGACTCACTCTGTTAAGGTCTGTCGATGAGAAGCCTTGTTACAACTTGGAGTGGATTGCAGTCTGCTTACTGGAGTCTTCTCATCCGTAAGCTTGATATTATCTATCCATTTACTGAGGCCTTCTTGTGTATTTCAGTAGAGTTTTAAACATTTTCTCCATATGGATTCTATACCTTTTTATTAATTTTTATTCAACTTGTAATGAAGATCTGTTGTTATTCTAAGTGAGACCCTTTTCTGATGAGCTGTGGCTTCTTTGTACATTGATCTTTTATTCAGCAATGTTGCTAAACTCTCTTCTCTGCTCTAATACTTTATTATACTTGCTCGAATTTCTCGGTAGACAATTATATCATTTACAAGTCATATTTTCCTTGTTTCCCAACCCTTATGTCTTCAAATTTCTTTGTGTGTATGAGTGTATTATCTTGGCAAGGTGCTCTAGTCCAATGTGGAGGAGAAATGGTAAAGCGATCCATGTCTTGCTTCTAACTTTAAAAGGAAAATATTTAATGAATTAATTTTAAAAATAATGCTTCTTGAATTGGGTTGTTGGTAGCAACTATTATCATGTTCAGGAAATTCCTCCCTTTTCTAGTGTGTTAAGATTTAAAAAATAAGAGTGGCAAATTACTCTATGTTTTCTAATATTAAGCCATCCTTACATGATGGCATCAACCTGATAGGCTTCTGATGTATTTTTTAAAACACATTGCTGAACTTGGTTTTAATAATATTATATGTTAAGAATAAAATTTTTTATTCCTTTTGAGATTGGCTTATAATTTTCCTTTCTATGTTTTTCTCTGATTTTGGCATCAAGGGTTTATTAGCTCATAAAATAATTAAGGTGCTTTCCTTCTTTTTTGTCTTTGAAATCATTTGACTAGAGATTATCTGTCTATGAAGATTTGGTAAATCTTTCTTACCAGATTTTTTACTCTTTTTGTAGTAGATTTGGAAATATGAGTTCAGTTTATTTAATGGTCATAAATATATTCATGCTTTTAATTTGCTTGAATCAATAATTTTTGTAATTTATATCTTATTAAAAAGTATCTATTTTTAAATATTCACAGTATTCTCTTAGGATAAGAAAAAACTCTCAACTGTTAATATAATATCATTCATAGTCTTGTTTCTCTTCTCTTTTCCTCCACTATCAGTCTCACTAGAAAGTTACCGATTTTATTATTGTTTTATTGAACTAGCTTTTTGTTTTGTGATCCCGTCTATGAGTTCTTGATACTTAGGTCTATTTTTAGCTCTAAAGTTATACATAGAACACATATATATGTGTTCTTCTTCATTTTCTTCCTCCCTCCTGTGTTTTAGATCAAAGCGTTTTTGAGTGAGGGAGACTACAGGAAAAGGATTTGCTACCCCTGGATCTATTTCAGACATTACCCAGATTATTTATGCTGAAATATGTGACAAGAAAAAGGTGAGCAGTGGGAGTAGGAAGGAATAGACTGGGAATTCAAGATTTGCAAATATTAACTACTATATATAAAATAGATAAAAAACCAGATTTCTTCTGTATAGCATGGGGAACTATATTCAATATCTTGTAGTAACCTATAATGAAGAAGAATATGAAAATGAATGTGTGTGTGTGTATGCGTGACTGAAACAGTATGCTGGACACCACAAATTGACACATTGTAACTGACTATACTTCAATAAAAAAAAGAAAAAGGTGAGCAGAGAGTCGCTCTATTTAATAGAGTTGTCATTTCATGACAGTCTAATACAAGGCTTCTGCACACACAGTTCCACCTTCTATTCTCCATTCCTAGGGTCCTCTTATGTCATTCCTACCCTGAAGAGTGGTTTTATTTTATTTTATTTTATTTTTAACTAAATTGAGCTGCCTCGCCCACCTCTGCCACCGGCCTTTTTAAAATAGAAAAGGTTTCCTAAGGAGAATGATTTCTTTCTAGTCAAGGGGAAAAACACCAGAGAGTCATAAATCCCCCATTTTAAGAAGGAAGAAACTTCTGCCCAAGAGGCACCTGAAAAACTTTCCCAAGCGGCTGAATTCTCTCAGGGTATTGTTTCACCAGAATCTATTCTCTGCATCAGTCTCTACCTTAACAGACTGGAGGGAAAGTTTCCAGCAGATCTCTTTGCTGATAGTTTTGATTACTCTCTAGTAGAAAATTTCAAAGGCTTTCTGCCAGGCGGAAGGGAACATGGGAGGCAGAGAGAACCGGCATGACCAGCAAACTGTCTGAATAGAGCCAAAAGTCATGACAGCCAAGTTTTCAATCCTACATGCTTTGCAAATTACAGACCTTGGACCACTAGATAACGTCAATAATCCAACAAAGTCTACAGTTATCCTTTATGATATTAATGTAAACTCTGCTTCAAATATTCCTTATTCAGATTCTCTTCGTTTTACTGAAAATATTTTTTCTCATGTTTGACAGCACCAGCTGTCTTTGGGTCTTTGGCTCTGCTGAAGTCATTTGAAGAAACAGATCTAGAGAAACATTGCTTGGCAGAGGATAAGAGAGAAAGGTTAGGCAGAAAGCATGAGGATGCCTATCCAAGAAAGGGAGTAAGTTTGAATGGCAAGAGGGTCACAGACAAAAACATTAAAGAATGTATATCCAGGTATTCTTCTTCACCTCTGTTGAAACAACATCATCTGTTTTTGTGTTTGAAGAAGCCTGTTCAAATGTATTATCTTACTATGATACAGACAACTTGCAACCCAGTAAAACAGACTGTATTTGTATTATCCCATTTTACAGATGGGAATGCTGGCTCGTTAGGAACACAAAACTAGCTTTGATGAATTCATCTCTGTGCTGAACTGGATTCTGTACTGGATTTCATTTTCTCTCTCCTTTTACCTACAGTTGATTTTAAAGTTATTGAACTAAAACTGGCTGCAGAGCTGTCTCATTCAGACAGGTCCACACGTGTCTGGGAGACAGACCTGTTCAGCTGATCCTGTACTTTGTTCTCTAGTTCATTTTAGGCCACGGTGGGCCAAATAAAGAGGAAATAAAGTATTTTAGAACAAATAACTTGGAACTCATGAGGACACATCTTGTGTGGACAGAACTCCTCATTCGATATTAGAAAGGACCACAGAGTAGTTAAGGTGCTTAACATATGGTCAGAGCAGAAGCAGCCATATTCCTTAAGATGTTAAGAGATGAAATCAGTATATTGGAAAATATTCAAGCTGAATGGCAGGCAAGACACTCATCTGCACTTTACCTTTGATTTCTGAGGAATGGCTAAACATTGAAGTAATTAATTTATAAATTAATTAAATATTATTTGATATGATTTATTGCTGTAATTAATATAATAGTGATTATTTTTAAATAAAAATTTAAAGTATTCTTTTTACTAGATACTGAAGTTTTAGTATTGAGAAGCTCAACAGTAAATAAAAAGACTGCGTGGTAGGAAGACGCGAAAATTAGCTAAGTGATTTTCCTGAGTTGGGTAGAGCTGTGGTTGAGAAGGAAAGCCCCTTTCAGTACATTCTTCTTTTCTTATCAATACATACTTTTTATTATACTTGGATTTCATGGTAAGCATTTTCCTGTTCGTCCTGATACATTTTTTAGAGTTTAAGATCAACTCTTATTATTTGTGTGGTAAGTTTTTATATCTATTTCTGCATGCTGTACGTAAACATATTAGTACTGTGCATGTATTGAAATGTCTGTTTTTCACATTTTCATGGACTGTTGTAAAATAAATGATAAACTGGTAGGACAGGAGAGAAAGCAGAGTTGTTTAAAGTTGATTTTTTAAACGAAGGGGATCTGATTGTTTGAAAGAGGAAACAGCTTCTGACGGTAATTGATGGGCAACCGGGGTGTGAACGCGAGCATCCTGTGAAAACCGCAAGACGAACTCGGTCGAGGTACTGCGCAGTCACTGGCGGGAGACGGTCAAGTTCTTACCGAAGCCAACTTCACTGGAAGCTTAAGAAGTTTCTATTCCCTCCCCGCCCTCTGCGGTTTCCAGTGACCTCTCCTTTCTGCGAAGCCCAAGGTTACCGAGTGACCGCCACCAACGCAGTCCTCTCTTGCTGTTCTGCGTTTCTTTCTTAAATGTTCTTCCATCAGTCCTGCCGAGTCCTCTGTCATGGGCCCCACGTGCCGTTTCAGACGAGGGTTTACTCAGGTTTTACTCCCAAGCAGCTACTTTTGTTGTGTTGCGGCTTTAGCAGTGGAGCGAAAGGCAGAGGACTGCCAACACTCCGGGAAGCCAAGGGTGGGAGGTGGGTGGTGGGTGGCGCGGCTGGAGAGACCCGGGACTGACTGGGTGTTGTTCCAGAACCTGGGCGAATCTCCTCTGTGGCCGCCACTTTACTGAGAACGATCCCCAGGCCTTAGTCCGGCGCCGCGCCCGCCCACACCTCCAGGTGCGCATTCCCCGCCCTTAATTACTCTTTTAAAATTGATAGTTGGCACTTGCAAAGTGACACGGGGAAAGCGGAAGAGAAATTTATGATCATGGATATGGAGAACTAGGTAGGGGAGCACAGTCACGGTTGCTTTGGTCCGCAGACCCAGTCGATCGAAAATTCAGAAATAAAAACGTGAGCACCTTTCCCGCAGCTAAACTGACTCTGCGTTCTTTGCAGCCTCGACTTAAAGGCTGCGCTAGGAGAAACTCGTGGCTCCTGGAAAGTTTGGAAACTGAACTAGGAGAGAAGCCAGACGTCAGGGGTTTTGCGGGTCCCGCGATGTTTTCCAGAGCTTTTCAAGTGGAAAGAGAAGAGCGACAAAATGAAAATGCAACGTGTGCGGGAGGCCACCCGAGTCCCGCAAATTGTCCCGCGCAGAGGTGAGCGCGGGAGCGGGTGGGGGTGGGGATTCGGAGCTGGCGGCCGCCGGTCTCCCGCCGCGGGTGGGTCGGATCGGGGTTGGGGGGGGTGGGAAGATAATGAATGGGAGGCTTGGGCTACCCCTGCCCCCGCCCTGCAGCGAGGGCGGAGAGTCCCGCCACTGAACCCGGGAGGAGGAGCGCGGAGGGTAGGGGCTCGGGGGGCGTCGCACCAGGTAAGGAAATGAGCGAGGAGGAGGGAGTCTGGGGGGTGCGGGAGTTGCTGACTTGTGCTACGTGGAGCCAGCGGAAAAGAAAGAAGGCGGAGGAAGGAGGGGGCTGGCGTCCGCGCTGCTCCCGCGGCCCTCCCTCGGCGCCCCCTCCCCCGCCGCCCCTGCCAGCGCGCC